CATTCTAGATGTTGCAATATGAATTCAACACCCATGTCTGGTATGATTAATATTGGATATTCCACCAGATTCCCATATGATCCTTCACATGAGGCCCCAATACAAGGAAAAAGGACCCCTAAGTAAACGAATTGCAGGAATAGCTCTCAATATCCTATTGTTCTGCATTAGATATAGGAAACAGTAAAACCAGATTACCTAAAAACTGCTATTTTAAACCATGTAAAGGATGAATTCAGTGAGACTCACACTGACTCTTGACTAATCTCAAAAAATATTACTTATGGAGTTTCTTTTTAACATGATATAGAATATATATTAAGATAGAACATTATACTTAACACTGAATTGTTCTAATTAAACTGATGCAAGACAAACCCTAATACGTTACTTTTACGCAAGTGGGATTCTCTTGCATTTTGTAGAAGACGAAATGGTGCTGTGTTTGTAACCCAGGAAGCTACATTCTTCATGGAGTTGGTGTGCCTGTTGGAATCTACATCTATAATAGTCAAGGCACCATAAGCACTCAGGGCTGTCTGGATATCAATGAAATCAGTGCATGTCTCCACTGTACTCCATAAAAGCATAAGCCTTGTAATTAAAAAAAAAAAAAAAACCAACTGTGGTGCCTCGGTGGCTCAAGTCAGTTGAGTGCCTGACTCTTGATCTCAGCCCAGGTCTCGATCTCAGGGTGGTGAGTTCAAGGCCCACATTGGGCTCTACACCCAATGTGGAGCCTACTTAAAAAAAAAAAAAGACCCAATGCTAGAAATTTTTTAAAAAAATAAATGAGTTAAAGTTCCTACGTATAAGCTAAATCTACAAAGTAAATTCATAGAATTAAAATAAAAATTTTTAAATGCCCCACTCAAGCAGAAACCTTAACACACTGGGTATTAATTTAACTTGGAAAGATATAAAAAGTATATACATCCATTTCTTGCCTAAAATCAATTCTAAGAAAGGTGACAATTCTCCAGAAGATAACACAGAGATATAATACAATAAACTTAAACTTAAGTTCCTTAATCAGGGAAACTATAAATTCACAAACTGGCAGTAAAATTCACCTCTTTGCACTAAATAAAATCAACTTTTCCTTCTATTCTTACTCTATACCCTTTCCCTGATATCACCAGCTTATAGTTTTACCTATGTACCACCTATATGTTGATGATTTCCAAATCTGTACCTCCAGCTCAGAACTCTCCATTGAGATTCATACTTCTATCCCCCACTTCCCACTGGGTATCTATAGCTAGATTCCTCATGGACACTTCAAACTCAACAATCTAAAGCTACACTCATTATCTTTCCACAACACCCCAAATCTTCTGTGCCTCCACAACTCTCCATTTTGACTAGGAGCACCAACATCCTCACAGTCTTTTAAGTCAGAAATCTGGAAGTCATCCTAAATACTTCCTCTCCCTCACTGTACACCCTGCCTTTAGCCCCTCTACTCTTCTAATCTCTTTTAAATCTTAAGTATCACCCCAGGTAAACATTTTTAAATGAGTCTCCACCACCTATATCCGCTATGTCCTACAAAGAGCATTCAAACTGCTAAGCATAATATACAAATGCCTTCATGACCTGGACTTTTAAGTATCTCTCCAGCCATATCCCACCTCTTCACCTTTCTAATTCATATTTATGTAGTACGTAACTAGAAGGCACTGTGTTAGGTATGTTGCATACATTATGTCATTCAATCTTAGTAACAACTCTTGACAGTTAAGTATGATTTTACCTAACTGCCAAGGAATGACACGGCATATCCGCTACCAATCTTTGGATTATTATCTTTGTTCCAAAATTCCACCCATACCCTATTTTAAATCACTGCCTCAACCATGACCAGGCTTTCATCATCTACACCTGACACTAATGGTGTTAGGGATTTAAAAAAAAAAGAGACAGACACTGATTTGAATGAAGTATTTCCTTCGTTGAAATAATGTGGTTTTTTCATAATTATAACACAATCAGTAACTTCCATCATTAATAAGTATTCACCAAAACACTCTTTAACAATATGTTCACAGTACAAAATACTTTTAAACGAAATATTACCTGGCAATAAGCATAGTTTCCAAGAGCTTTATGAGCTTCATCAATAACTAGACACTTTATTTCAGCAGCAGGACAAGCTCCTCTAGAAAGATCATTTACCATGACTTGAGGTGTAAGAAAAAGTACTCTCTTACTGCGCCATATTTCCTTCCTGGTGATAGCTTGAGTAGATCCTGTAAACAAAAGTGACATCCTATATTCTAAATACCAGGGCTGTTATCTTTAAAATATCTATAAATAATCTGGCCTAATTTCAGAATGCAGTCCTGCTTTGGTAATGTGCCTTCAGACAACAATTTAACAAATCACTGAAATGTTACATTTTAAAGCTCTGTTGTGATCCCAATGTCAATGCTGAGACACAACTAGACTGTCTTTAGAGAACTCCTACAAAATGGCATAATATCTGGAGAAAAGCAAATTCTTCAACTGGGAGATCTTTCTGGGGAAGAAAGTCAGAAAACCTCCTGTGCGTTCACTTCGGACGGGGTATACACACAAATCGCTTCAAAATGCTCCGACAAATTACGGAGAGCCTCTGAAAATTGAGGAAAGCAACCCTTTTTGTGAGGGCCAGACTTGCTACAAGAAGATAATGCTTTAAGGGAGAGGATGTAAAATACGGATACTGTGATCCGGGGACTATTCAGGAATTCTTTTAGCTAAATCTCCACCAGAATGCATGCTTTCCCGAGCACCCCGCTCTTAATTTCAAACTAGCCCATTTCCTAAGATACCTGTCATTTCAGCCATGTGGGACTGCGGAATACCCATCACTCGGTAGCAAGCCTCGATCTGCTGCGTCACTAAAGGTTTTGTGGGGGCCATAAAGACCACCTTGCCGGAAGGGAACCACCGGTAGAAATTGTACATGACCACAGCGGCAATAAAGGTCTTTCCCAGCCCAGTAGGCAGACACACCAGCGTGTTGCAGAACAAAGAGGTCCGGGCCATGTGCAGCTGGTAATCCCGCACTGGGCAATTAGTAGGGTAAATCCACAGGGAGCCCGCTGAAGTGCAGAAACCGCCATTCTCTAAACTCAGCTGCCGCTCTGCCTCATACACTGCAACCAGCAATACATCATCGTCCGACTCCGGCTGAGCCTCGGCAGCCTCTGCAGCTGGAGGAAAATGTGCCCTGGAGATGCCAGGGCTCTGAGGCCGCTCAGGTCCAGAGTTGCAACCCGGAGCTCCAGCGGATCGAGAAATGCTTGAGCCCCACGTCTGGAAAAGCGTTCTTTGCCGTCCGCTCATTAGGATGAGACCACCAAAGGCTTCTCTCAGACGCTAGCAGTTCCAACAGCTCAACCGCCACCATTCGGATCCCCACCGGTTACCTTCGCACAAAACAGTGGAACATGAGGGCGGGACTGCTGCTTGTTCATCTGGTTGAAAAATGCCGCCACTGAGTTTGCGTCGGAAATATGATTGGCTGGCTTCCCGGAAACCCTTGCGGACTCCCGGAGACGCATGCGCATTGTTATGGCGTTAGTCTAAATTTGGTCCGCGGTTCAGTTTCTTCATAGACTCTAAATATAAGTTCCGTTCCCAGTGATTGTGTGTCTGGGCCTAATTGCTAAAGTGACGTTGCTTAAAATGATAAAAAAAATAAATAACTTTGAGATCCTAGGGACAACGGATACCCATATTTTTGTGAATTTAACGTTATTGAGCGAACAATTCTTATTCCTTATTGATTTATTTTTAAATCGGAAAAGGAGGTGAAAAACAAAAGGGTTAGGTAGAATTAAGTATCTTATTTCTTTATACAAGTTGAGGGAAAAAAAATGCCCGGTTTCTTTTTCACAGTATTTGGAAAGACAGCCCATAATCTTACCATTTTTATTGTTAAGAGGGTAGTGAATGATTTGGTCCCGTATTCGTGGGAAAATCCGAAAGAAAAAAAGTAAGGCTTTCCTGAAACTCCACCATTACATCTTCATAAATTATATAGAGCAGTACGCGTTGGTGTGGTATTATTCTATTCTAGCGATAGCTTTCTACCTCAGGCTTGGATACAATTCCCGGCTTCCCCACTCTAAACCTTGGTAACTTGGAGTCACCTCTGTAAATTTGCTTCCTCATATACACAGGAGGTACACATCATGAGGTTGTTTTAAACATTAGTAATATCAATATCCCCACGCATCATCCTGCGTGTAGCTTCTTTATATCGTTTTATTTGGTCAAGTTTCTTTTTTTTTTAAAGATTTTATTTATTTATTTGACAGAGAGAGACACAGCGAGAGAGGGAACACAAGCAGGGGGAGTGGGAGAGGGAGAAGCAGGCTTCCTGCTGAGCCCGGAGCCCAATGTGGAGCTCGATCCCAGGATCCTGGGATCATGACCAGAGCCGAGAGGCCTAACGACTGAGCCACCCAGGCGCCCCAGGTCAAGTTTCTTGACCTTGCTTTTAAACTTTCTCCTGTGTTTTTATTTATTGGGTGGGGAAGGGAAGAGTTGTATTTTAGTTTCACTTGTGTGAATTTTAAAAGGAAGATGGTGAGTATGGGTTGTTCTGATGGGAAGGACTGAACCTATTCAGGTGTGAATTTTTAGGCTAGAACTAGATAAAACGTGATTAAAAGTCTGAATGCTGTTGTTTTCTTTAAGCAGGTTATATACGGGCTTTAAAGACATAGCAGCCCGTCGGCCATACACAAATGCAGGTAATGGCTGGTACAGTGGCAACAGTGGTTGCCTCACAAGGGTTCCAATTAAGAGCGGATGACAGTTTCAGGTCATCTGCTAGTCCGCTGCAATGACCACATCAGCTGGATTACACCCGAAATCAACCGAGGCCTTCAGAGCACAGCTTCGACGTCACTCAAGGACGGGCCCCAATCCCGCAGTGTAGCGCCGTGACCCCGCCCCCTCGAGCTCCAGGCGGGGTCCACGCCATGCCCCAGGGGCGGGGCGATGCTGAACCGAGGCGGGCTGGCTCAGTAAAGCAGAGGCAGCGGGGGAAGATGGCGGCGGCCGTACCACAGCGGGCCTGGACCGTGGAGCAGCTGCGCAGCGAGCAGCTACCCAAGAAGGACATTATCAAGTTTCTACAGGACCATGGTTCAGATTCGGTACCAGAGGCGGCGGGGCGGCCGGGCTAGTGCGGCAGAGGGACGCCTCACCCCCCCGAGATGCCCGTACATTCCGTATTCCTCCGTGCCCCCGCCCTCGTCCTCCCGCGGCGGGTGGCCTGGAAGGCCGGAGAGGCCTCGCGTGCGCCGGGGAGCCGTGCTCCCGCCGTTTGGGCTGCCCAATTTTGGGGGGGTGTGGGGATCGGCTTTATTTCTTGGGGCAGGCAGGCAGCAATCGCATAATTAAAACCTCACTGGGATCCTTGAGTGAGGGTGGAAGCCATGAAAAAAAAGAACCCAGGAGATACGAGGGTTGGAACGCGTGTCCGAGCACTGGGGACCTGGGTGAGACCCCTGCAGAGGAGAGTAGGCCATTAGAGAAATGGGAAGGATTGTGAAGATTTTTGTGGGAACGGTATGTGCTTTTTGCTTTTCTCATCGGGTTACTAAATACTGAACACTAATGCGCGTAATTTTTAAAAATCCGTAGATTGTGGTTTAACTTTTCAAAATATTGACTCTTTATATGACCTTTTCACCTTTATACTGAGGATAGTTACTTGCGCATTTAGTGTACAGTATCTCCCATTCTTAGACACAAACTTAAGAAATGTTTTTGGCATTCTTTATCCTGTACGCCCTGCATTTTTCAATATAGTCTCCATCTTAACCACCCGACTCTGGTCACAAGTGTTTTGGGGTTTTTTTGGGGGGGGGGTTGTTTTTTGTCAGACTTGACTTTTTTCCCTTCTGAAATTAAGATCATTCATACTTCTCTTAAATTGATGAACCACTGTACAGTTCCTGCACTCTGCATCCCCCACTTACGGGAAATAGAAACAGCAGTCTGTATGGTTTCTCTGCAGTTTTTCATTTAAGTTCTAAACATGCATTAGAAAAATTCTTTCTGGGTTCTTCTGTGAGGATTGTAGTTTATTTTCATTTTGAGGTGTCTTGAAGAGGAGATAAAGTAATTCTCTAAAACCAGTTCCATACACCTAGAATAAGTATCCTAATACCAGCAAATATTTATACAACATCAATAGCAAGAACTATGCTCAGTGTTTGGGAATACAGGGTAAAAGAAAGACTACGCCTCAGGTATTCCATTTTATACATTTTAGTGGAGTTATATTCTCTTAAGTCAATTTGTATTTTCAACTGGAACAATAGAATAAATTAGGCATATCGTTTGTTAACATTTAATGCCTCAATACTGTATTTCATCAAATTCTTATGAACAAATGATCCCAGTGTGAAATCTAATGTAAAACTGGCCAACCTGGGACAATTTCAAGAGACTTGAATTATCAAAATATTTTTTTAATAATCTTTTAAGTGCGTATTCTCTAGTATTCAGTCACATATTTAAACCTGTAGTTGACAATCACTATTTTATTGATCATAAGATATCAAGGAGATGTTCATATTTTTGCTATTTTTGGAATCTTACTAAAGAAATCACAAGAATCCTAAAAGCAACTGATTACTTCCATTTAATCAAAATAACCTTTCCCCATCAACCTTTATCATTTAGAACATTTCTCTAATTGGGGGAGAGAAAAAGCAGAGGAGAAAAAAATACAGTAGTGGTAGTGTTAGAAAAGCTCCTTTATCAAAAGGATAGAAGATGCCAGAGGACAACTTTGAGAAAGTAACAAAAATGAGGAATCAAGGACGAGAAGGCAGAAAAGAAAGCAGAATAAAATAAGGAAATAAAGACATTATTAAAATTCCCATGTTACATGATTTTGAGATGAAGTTACATTTTGATAACTCGATATTTCAGAAGTAGTATTTTGGTGTCCATTTGCCAACTTTGTTTAAGTTTGCCAACTTTAAGAGAAATGGAATTCTGTTACTTTGAATTATTAAGTACATTGTTATTAGCCCTAATAGCTAATATTTATTGAGTTCTCACCATGCAACAGACTGTATGTTAAATACAGTAAATGGACTATTGCATTTATTCTTACAACAACCCTCTGACATTGGTGCTGTTATTAATCTTCCACTATGATACAGAAACAGTATTTAGGAAAGCTTAGTCCTTTGTCTAAGATCAGGTAGCTAGGATTTTAATACAGATGATCTGACTCCTCAGCCCACACACTTAACCACCATATATCCAGCATTGTATAACAGTGCTTCCCAGTCTGCCAAGAATGGGTTACAGATTTGTCAAGATAGCTATTCCCAACATGGTTGGAGACTCCCAGGGCCATGGCCAAGTAACATCCTGCCAGTAGCAGCATCATCCAGTTACCAAAATATGCTTGCTATATGAATGTTCTGTGAGTTCTGTAATGGGAAAGCATTAGTATGCAACAGTGTGACCCCCACATAATATTACAGTTCCGGTCTTGTCAATAATTTTTATAAATATATTTTTTAAATCTTTTTTTGTTATGAAGTAGGGTATAAAATATGTTTAATTTCTTCCATCATGAGTAGTTTTATTGAAGATATAATTACTAACATAAAAGGTCATTTTTCTAAAGTTTAGACCCTTATTACATGAGGAAGATTATTTTGACTAACCAGCTTTTTTCTTTATAGTTTCTTGCAGAACATAAGTTATTAGGAAACATTAAAAATGTGGCCAAGACAGCTAACAAGGACCATTTGGTTACAGCCTACAACCATCTTTTTGAAAGTAAGGTGAGTATTGTTTCATTTATTACAAGAATATTTTTTTAGATATTTTATTTACAAAAAGAAGCTTTAAATTTATTTGCAGAACATGTTTAAGTTTTTCCACCTGGAGTTTTTCTTAACTGTAATCATAAATGGACTACTGCCAAATCTAGCAAAGCTAATCTGCAGTATGGGGGAATATTAAGATATTTTGAAAGGAACCAAATTTTTAAAAATAATTCCCAGGATGCCTAGGAGGCTCAGTCATTTGAGTGTCTGACTCTTGATTTCGGCTCAGATCATGATCTCAGGGTCCTGAGATCAAGCCCTGCATTGGGCTCCCTGTTCATCGGATAGTCTGCACTTGAGAGTCTTTCCCTCTGCCCCTCCCCACACTTGCACATGCCCATGCTCGCACTCTCTCTCAAAATAAATAAATAAATCTTTAAAAAATAATAATAACTCCCTGTAGCTTAAATTAAGACAACAAATAAAGGTACTGAAAAGTTAAAAATCCAAAGGAAGTTCCATTTCATTAATGAACTGAAAATCTTAGACTTATGCTGAACCTTTAGAAAAACAAATTTTAAGAAATTCTCCAATATTTGTTCACTATTACCATCTTCCACAACAAAGAGTCTTTATTAAGGAATTGTGTGAATTTTTTTTAAAGATTTATTTATTAGAGAGAGAGAACACAAGAAGGGAGGAGGGGCAGAGGAAGAAGGAGAAGCAGACCCCCTGCTGAGCAGGGAGCCTGATATGGGGCTTGATCCCGGGTCCCTGGGATCATGACCTGAACCAAAGGCAGAGGCCCAACTAACTGAGCCACCCAGGCACCCCAGGAATTGTGTGTGAATTATATTCATATCTGAATCTGAGTTGGCCTTTCTAAATCTGTTTTTTTTCCCATTTAAAGATTTATTTATTCATTTTAGAGCAAGAGACAGCACAAGTGAGGGGAGGGGCAGAGGAAGAGGGAGAGAATCCCAAGCAGACTCGCCTTGAGCTCGGAGCCCAACACGGGGCTCTATCCCATGACCCCGAGATCATGACCCAAGCTGAAACCAAGAGTCGGACGCCCAACCAACTGAGTCACCCGGTCACCCCTGAGTTGTCCTTTCTAAAAATCCCTTTTCAGCATTTATGTTGTGAGATGCTTTGAGGTTCATAATTTGTTGATTAAAATGCTTAACATAAGATTTTTCCTTTGTTCTTAGACAGTTTCCATTAATTTGTATTTGAGTTATGTAGCCTTCATGGTATAGATGTTCATTAAATTGAAAAGTTGAAAATCTAGATTTCCCGGGGCGCCTGGGTGGCTCAGTCGTTAAGCGTCTGCCTTCGGCTCAGGTCATGATCCCAGAGTCCTGGGATCGAGCCCCGCATCGGGCTCCCTGCTCCGCAGGAAGCCTGCTTCTCCCTCTCCCACTCCCCCTGCTTGTGTTCCCTCTCTCACTGTGTCTCTCTCTGTCAAATAAATAAAATCTTTAAAAAAAAAAAAAAAAGAAAATCTAGATGTCCCTTCTAGCTTTTAACCTGTCCTGAATATGGTAAACATTAGAACATTTTCCTTACAGCGTTTCAAGGGTACTGAAAGTATAAGTAAAGTGTCTGAGCAGGTGAAAAATGTGAAGCTTAATGAAGATAAACCCAAAGAAACCAAGTCTGAAGAGACTCTGGATGAGGTTTGTATATAATATTATTTTATTTCTCATGTGAATTTGAGAAAAGTATTTGTTTACAGCACTGATTTCTCATAAGGGGTGGTTGAGTATGGCTACTTTGAGTGAACCAAACACTGATTTGGAGTGTGTTATCTCCCTTAGGTGTACTGAATCAGGAAAAAAACATGTAAGAACCAGCGCTTCACAGTTAATAAGCCTTTCCTATAAAATACCTCTAGCTTTGTATTTTGTGTTTCTTCTATGTCTGACCAGAACTTCTGAGCTTCCAAAGCCATTTAAAGGTCCTGATTCTATAGCCAAGTTGGACTGAATGAAAGAAATTTCACTGTGATTATTTTTAGCTTTTTCTAATGTACATGGTATCCTTGGCAATAGAAATAGTCCAGGCTTGGCTACAGGGTGTGGGGTCATCTGTCTCATCTTTCCCAACATAGGTTTTACATTTTGGTACAAAGGTTTGAAGAACCAGATAAAACCATTTCTGCAAATGGACAGCCTCAGTAGAGCCAAGGACAGCAGTTAGAACAGCCACAATAGAGCTGAACTGATTATAATCTTGCCACTTCTGATAATACCTTGCTAATTAAGCTCACTCATTCCTAGCAGTCTTAGTATCAGTGATAATTATCTAATAATAATATTCTTTAGGTCTTATAAAGAGGTTTCACCTAATGATGAAGGTATAGCATTTGGATATTTGTAGACAGAGTGTAAGTTCAAATGTAGAATCATAGAAGTTTATATTGACTAAAGATAGTTAATTCACATGATATTTTCTTGTTGGTTGAAAAGCACAAATTAATGTTTGTGGATATGTACACACAATAAAGCAATTTTGAGGTTTATCACATCTAATATTATTTGATAAATGTTATATATACTGGGCAAATACTGAGCAGCTACTAAGGTAAATAAAGGTATAATAAAAGGATTGCAAAAGCTATTGGTAAAATAGTTTACCCTCCAGAAAATAACAATAAAGTAGGTATGAGACAACAGATTGTATATCATTAAGAGGTTAAGAAAAAGAGAGCTACAAATAAAAGGGTGTAAGGGCTGGAACAATCTAGAGGGGTCTTGTGAGGATCCTAAAGTATATCCCTTTTTTAAAGACTTCTTTTCTCAGGGGCACCTGGTGGCACAGTCAGTTGAGTGTCCAGCTCTTGGTTTCAGCTCAGGATGTGATCTCAGGGTCGTGAGATCGAGCCCCGCATCAGGCTCCATGCTCAGCACAGAGTCTGCCTAAGATTCTCCCTCCCCCCTCCCCCCACATGCTCTCTTTCTCTCAAATAAATAAATCTTTAAAAAAATAAATAAAATAAAAATAAAATGCAAATCTGATTCTGTAACTTCTCTTTAAAACTCTTAATTGGCTGTTCAGTGACCTGAAGATTAAAAAAAAGTTTCCTAACATGTGCTACATGTCCTTCCAGCCTCATCTCATACCACTGTCTCCTTCACTTCTCCCTTGCAGACTATACTATTTTCATGCTATGCCCTGCTATAAAAATGCTCTTCTCTGTTATAAGCCTTTCCCCAATTGCCTACCTCAAAGAAACCTCTCCCAGCCTGTAGCTGTACTGGGTTAGGTCGCTGTGTCATTCCTATCTTAGCACTTGTGCTTCCGCTTTAGGTCTCATAAACCCATACAGTTATACACATGACTGTATTCTCTGCTGGCATGAGGGTCAGGACTATGTCTACCACCTCCCCTACCTATCTTCAGTTTCTAACACATGGAACATGCTCAAATATTTCTTGAATTAATAATAGGGATAATTATGTAACATACTCATTTTTAGAGGCTATGATGTGATCCAGTTAACAAATTGTAATGATTACTCTCAAAGTTCCTTTATCTCTGTATCTACAAGTATCTAGTTCAGATCTAGTCTCAAGACTGTAGTTCTTTTCGGGGTGCCTGGGTGGCTCAGTCATTGGGCGTCTGTCTTCAGCTCAGGTCATGATCCCAGCGTCCTGGTATTGAGCCCCGCCTCAGGCTCC